CTGTTTGCTTCTCAAAATTTATAGTTTCCTTCAACACTCAATTCAAGCACCATATTTTACATGGTCTTCCCTGATCCCCCTAATGCAGATCCCTTCCCCAAATCATCTTGTATCTAATTTGTACCTGCCTGTATTTGTGAAAGTTGTCTCCCTTAGCTAAATTGTATACTCCTGGAGTTTAGGGACAAATTCACATTTTCATCGCTAGTATCTGGCACAGTGTTGGACTTACAGTAATAAAATAAAATAAATACCAATAAAATGCTCCATGATTGATTAATATGGAACTAGTGTATGAGCTTCTCAAAATTATGGGCTAGCACTGTTGCCTTGCATTCAGTAACTGTTCAAAAATGTTGAATGGAGGCCAAGGAAGGATGCCTGGCCTGTTCTCTGGATAGATGATGATTTGAGCATAGTAAGAATACACATGAAGTTAAATTTAAGGTGATCTTAGTATTTCTCAATGAGAAGATCAGAATGTCCCTTATGTCTAGGCTAGTGTGAATTTATCATGTACCATAGTGTTCTACTTGCTGATAGATTTTTTTAATCGTAAAAGCACGTTTTTTATAAAGAACATGGAGTTGATTGACAATGTGTATTCTCTCGTGGGTGGCTATAGTTTTGTCAAGTGTTATGTTAGAGATCTTTGATATTGGGCTGGAAGGAATTTTATTTGGGCGACCCCCTCATTTTACTGCTGAGAAGACAGTCCAGAGAAGTTAAATGACTTGCCATAGTCTAAGTCCTAGAATCAGAATTTCAACTCAGGTTTTCTTTCTCCAAGTCCATTGCTCTTTCTACTATACCACACCAAATGAGGAAAATAATTTTAAGGTAATGATGATAATGGCCTGTTTTATTAGTGCTTGCCAAATTCAATTCTAACAGGTACTTGTCAATCAAGTGTACCCAGATTTACACAGAATCAGGTGGATTGGGACTATCCTTGCATGTACTAGGTTACAGAGTCCTGTAAAATAAAGCCTTTGATACTTAGAAATAAAAGTATCCCCCGAAACTTTCAGAGATGTCATATTTATATCTTAAGGAGTACAAGCCTAATGCATAGATTACACTGAATTTTTTTTTCTGATTAGTTTCATCATGTTTTTTTGTTTTGTGTTTTTTTTTGATGAACGTTTCAGAGCCTTTGCCTCATATGAGGTGTTAGCAAAGCTGTTGTTTTGTTAAAATTATAGAGCTCACAAAAATACTTACAGGGCTAGTTAGCGTCTTTCCTGTTTGCTGGTGTGTTACTTCTTTGGTTCAGCCTATTAACCAAAGTGTTAACTATGTGAAATGTCATTTGGAGTATGTCAGGGGAAAGTTGGTCTATCAAGTAGGACTTGCAATTCAGTTTCATTATGTGAAAAATGTAATTTTAATGTTTGTACCTGGAATTGATACATGAAACATTCTAAGAGCCTTGGGAACAATTGTGCCCTGTGTTTCTTGCAGACTTGTTTTCTAATGATGAAAAATAATTTGTAAGTTTTGGGTAAGTAAGGACTCTCCAGTGTACATTCTTGTACAAATTCTTGAAATGCTGAGGTCTACTCATCTTTTGTTTTCCAACAACAAATAGTGTTGAGCTAAAGGCATGGGTTAAAAAGACAAGGAAATGCTAGATATAGACATAGCAGTAATATATTGAATGTTACTGACAAGTAGAAAGACACCAAGAAACACTCGGAAGAAGAGATTTTTTTCTTCTAGAGTATGAGAATAAATGGAATATGAAGGAAAGGAGGAAGAGAGGGAGTCCTTCCCCTCCACAGAAGTCTACCTTGACCTTTGATTCAACAGTTAATTTTGTAACAAGGACAGTCTTAACTAAAGAACATCCCACTGTATCCATTTGATTCTTCATGAGAAAGCATTCTTTTGCTTATCTGCCTCTTATCAGGAAATTTTGCAAGAAAGCAAGTCAGAATAATTCTTGGTTCAGTACATATTCCCATGCTGTTTCACATTGATGACTCTGAGTAATCACGAAAAAGCCAAATTCTGTTCGACATACTTTACTTTCTAGGTCAAATAGGTAATGAGAAATTTTGCAACGAGTTCTATTAAAATCACTTAAAAGGTTTCTGCTGTTAAAGGGCTGATTCATTTGGTTTTTTTTTAAATTCATTTATTTGTAGTAATTCATTCTCTGACTATTCAAAATTAGGTCTTATTCTAGACACTAAGCAGCCAAAAGTTGTTAACTGTTCAAATTATGTGTAACTTTCTTGGTCCTCCTCTGCCAATATAACTAATTATACATTGAAATATTCTAATCACATACTTCAAGATCCCGGTCACATTAACTTGACATTATCCTGTTCTTTGAATTTTGCTTACACCTTTTTCTACTATTATATAGCCCTAACATCCTTAAAAATTGTATAAGATTGGATTCTCTGCCTTTACTAAACCAATCTAGTTTTGACCATTTTAGTTATTTTAGTAACTCCATAGTTTGGGTCTCCATGTTTGTATATGTCTCCTGTTGGTTCCATGGTTATTCAGCCTCCAAGTTGTAAATTTGCATGTTATCAGGTAGCATCTAAGAGATTTGTATCCCTTCCAACTGGGGATACTATCTAAGCCAGAATCAGACCTCTATGACCTTGCTTCCTAGGATAAGCTCTTCAAAATGGAGGAGGATATTCTTGACCATTATTCAGCATAGTCTTCAAGATCTTTGGTACAAATAGTTAGAAACTGACTATTATTTGTATACACTGGTTGTATTTTGATACTATCTCCCAATTAAATCATAAATATGCAGCATTAGCTACAGCCCCAAGTAGTGTAATTATATTTTGCTCACCATGGATGGTCCATAAAAAGAATGGACTGTCCTAGAAAACAAAATCCTATCCTAGAAAGCAAAATGCACAACAGCCAATAATAGCCTTAAAGACCTATTTGTAATACCAAAGGAAGGTAAACTCTTGATTATCCACTGGAATTTTTTTAATTTTAGGCTGCCTTCTCATTGATGTTCAAATATCTTCTTGGGCCATTTCCCTTCCACCTAATCATTTTATATAATTCAAGGAATGTAAGGTAATTCATAAACAACTCCTTTATCTAGCATGGTAAGACATTATGCCTAAGTGAATTTTTGGATTAATTACCCTTCAGGTGACCAAAACCCAATTCAGACATTTTGATGGAAATACAAAATACATAGATGTATTTTTAAACATAAAACACTGACCTTTAACATTTTTTATGACTTTAACATTTTTATGAACATATATTTTAGTTTTTCTGCCTAATAATTATTAGGAACCAGGTGTTTTCTTGCTGCTGTGATGTATCTTGCTTAAACTTTTTACCCAGGCTAGTTGTCCCCAACACCAATAATCTACTATTAATAATGACTTTAATAGGTCAACTTATGGAAAGCAATTTACATGCAAATTTATAAATATTTCCACATAAAATTATATAGGTTAACCTACCCTCTCAGTTTTTCCTCAGCTCTATTTATTAAAAAACTTATTTCCATATATAGTTAAGGATGGTAAAATAGCATTTTGACTCCTGGAGAATATTATTTCTCTTGTTTATATTTAATAAGTCATTCCTCAAGGGTTATGAAATATAAATGGGAAAATTTATATTCTTAGTTCATATTATGTATGCATAATACTACAAATGTATGATTTCTTTTGGGTTCCTGTTCTCCCCACATACATACCTCTGATCATTTAAGGACTAGATTCTGTGTAACCTAGTAACTGCCCATGAATAGCTAGAGAGAGAGTCCAAAAATGACTAAAATTTCCAGCCTCTGTTACTGGGAGAATAATGGTACCATTTAGAGAATGAGAGACTTTGGAGGAAGATGATGAGTTTGGTTGTAGCCTTAGTGAGTTTGAAGCCAATAAAGGACTCACATTTAATAAATGAACTGGAGGGAGAAGGAAGGCCCCAAAAGAGATGTAATGCAACATTTGTTGTACAGAATTCTGACTAATCAATCTCACTTTATAAACTAAAGTGTCTAATATATATGCTTTTTTCTGATGCTTAACTTTTATTGGAATCAGATTCTTATTTTCTACTTTAAAACTTTTGTACTTGTTTGAGCAAGTAAGCCAGAATTCCTTATTTCTGCTGTTATGAATAGATAAATCTTTTATTTTTTTTTTTACTTGAGCAAAATATATACTAAGATAGGAATAAATGAATGTCAGCATCTCTTCCATTCTGTTTTATAGTCTAAATAGGAACACAGAAGCACACATACACATGCACATAAACACACGTGTATATGCATGTGTATATGTGTGTATACTCAAACTCCACAAACCCCACCACTACCTCCACCCTAGCACCCCATAGGTGAAGTGAACAAGAAATCCACAAACAAGGAAGTCAGTAAACCTTTCTCTCTTTTGCAATAAATAAATAAATAAGAAAATAAACAAACAAATAAATAGGTAATAGTTCTTAAGCCCTTCTATACTTCTTGTCCTCATTGTATGGCAATTAGAATGATCTATAATACATATGGAATCTTAAGAATTCCTAGTTTTTACACATCTAAGCAGTTAAAGGAGTATGTAAATACATTACTTGAGCATTTTATATACCCTTGGTTTACAGAACTCAGTATCTTATCAGGTGTTTGTGGGAGAAAAAGCCCTGTCCCTTTTCCACACATTTCATTTCTGAGCATTTATTTCACTGGTTTATTGGGTTTTTTTAACTGGAGATTTGTTTAGGCTGCCTATTTTGAGAAGGAAAAAAAACCTGTTTTAGCTGTTGTCAGGATAAAGTAAATATTTTACTGTTCTAAGTATTGTTTTACTTGGTTTAGTTAAGAATTTTTTTTTTAAACATCTCAAATGTTATGTATCTTTGCATATTACTATCAAATTCCCTTTGTACTTGCATTGTAGAGTATTGGGAGTGGGGGAGAAAATGTTATCTATGCTTTTTGGTAATCAAAGTAATAGAAAATCCTGTTTACACGTTGTATTATTTTACAGGTTTGATTTATCAGGATGTGGAAATTCAGAAGGCAAGTTTGAAGACTGTACAGTGGGGAAATGGAGGAAAGATATTCTCTCTATAATTGATGACATAGCAGAAGGACCTCAGGTTATTTTATATGATTAAGTATTGACATCAGATAGTAAATCAGATTCTTGGTATATGCTCTAAACGTGGAAGAGGCAAAATGCAAAATTTTGCTGCTTGGCTTTAAAAAATTTTATTGCTGCAGTTTTCTTTTATTGCTAAACTTGTTTTTTTTCCTTTAAAATTTTTTTTTCATGCAGTAACTTTGTATTGTAATAATAATAGCTCATGTTTACATAATACTTTTCAATTTTACAAATCACTTTGCATGTATTACCTTATTTGAACCTCACATTAGCCTGTTAAGGTAGGTACTACTTAGTATCATTATCTTAGATTTACAGATGAGAGAACTGAGATTCAGAGAAACTATGAGTCTGATGATGACAGGAGTAAATTTTGAAGTCATATTGAGAGTCAGGTTCCAGGACTCACTACTTCCTCTTTGTCCTGCTACTTTTCAACCACTTAAGGAGTTAATTCTTCAACTGTATATCCTCCCAAATATATCAGAGGCCTATAGTTTAAAATCAGTGACAATCATGTAAAGTGTTAATTTTGTGGATTTCAATATCTTATTTTTAACATAAATATTTCATTTCTAGATATTGGTTGGATCTAGCATGGGTGCCTGGTTAATGCTTCACGCTGCGATTGCACGCCCAAAAAAGGTAGCAGCTCTCATTGGCATAGCTACAGCAGCAGATAGCATAGTAACAAAATTTAATCAACTTTCTGTTGAGGTAAGTAAATATGTGTATGTGTGTGTGTGTGTGTCTGTATAGACATATATATATATATGTATATATGCAGAGAGAAAGAGGGAGGTGTAGTTCTAAAAGCATGCTTATTAAGACTGTGTACTTCCTTTCTTCTAACTTTTCTACATTTTTCAAGTCCCTCTCATGCTTGTCTTTGCTTCCTCATGAACAGTCTCTTGGCTATTGCAGCCTTTTACTTCAAGGTCCACTTCATTTTTTTTTCTTATTTTTTCAAAGCCTTTGTCTTAGATTTTGTCTTGAGCCACATGGTCACTTTCTCAAATTGCTTCCATGGTATGTCTCTTTCTTTACTAATCACAGTACTTTATTTTGCCCACATCTTTTGTGATCTTTTGCACCTGTCCATTTTTGTTCTTTTGATTTAATCCTTGCTTGTTGTTTAAACATTCATTTGGTTCCTTTTTTCCACTTCTTATCTCAATGCTTGTGATGCTAAATTGGCCTAGTTTAATACTTAGACAAATTTGTGGCAGAGATAAAGTGTCTGAAATAACAGAAGTTGATAAACCTCTCATATATTGTTCTAAAGACATCTGTTTGAGGATGCTACAAGCTACAGTAATAAAAACAAAATGGGGATTAGAGGTCTACATAGTTTTACAACTCTGAGCCAGGCAAATGAGAAATTCTGCCCTAAATGTGAGGTAGCAAGTGGCAATATTTTCCTTTTAAGCCAAAGGTCAGCAGCCTCGCTTGTGCTTAAATACACTACTTTTTATTTTTGTATAAGAAGATCCAAAGAGAAGAAAAGATATGAGAGAGAAAACAAAAGGTGAAAGTGGTATCATCAGTATTTTTCTCAGGTCTCAATCACTGGCCCATATACCATAAGTTACCTAATTAATACTCATTTTTTGTTCAGTTGGATGGCCGCATCAGTTGTGACTACAAAAATATCATCTGCTGTAGAGAATAATCTTCCAAAGCCTGTCTCTTCTTCTAATATTTTTTTATCTATAATATTTGCAGTATTCATACAAATCATTTTTAAAGATTTTCTAAAGATAAGAAAGTAGACATATAGGTTAATGTTTATTTCCTTTATGTTTTGGGGGGTATTAATGTGTTTTTTCCTATTATTTAATTTACATGATCCTCTTGTTAATATCTTTAAAAATGCTTAGAATTAGGGAAAGTAGAAACCATAGTAATAATTTCAACTTGAGATTTAATACACTAATCAAAATAACATAAGTACATATGTTGTATATGCATAATGCCTGCCTGTCATATAATAGGTGTTTGATAAGAAAGTGAATAAAACATTTATTAAATGCTTGCTATTTGTGAAGCACTATGCTAAGCAAAAACAAGGAGCTCATTTTATTTTATTTATTTGTTTTGGTGAGGCAGTGGGGTTAAGTTACTTGTCCAGAGTCATACAGCTAGTGAGTGTTATGTGTCTGAGGCTGGATTTGACCTTACGTCCTCCTGATTCCAGGGCTGGAGCTCTATCCACTGCACCACCTAGCTGCCCTAAGGAGCTCATTTTAATGGGGGTGACAAAACATACGGAAGGTTTCAGCTGCAGGTCAGATGGAAAAGTTCCATCATTCTCAGGGGAAATATTGAAGCAGATTTCAGTTCTTCATTAATGTCATTCCCAGGGGCAGCTAAGTGGTGCAGTGGATAGAGCACTGGCCCTGGAGTCAGGAGGACCTGAGTTCAAATCCAGTCTCAGACCAGACACTTGACACTAGCTGTGTGACCCTGGGCAAGTCTCTTAACCCTAATTACCTCTCAAAAAAAAAATCACATTAATTTCATTCTCACTAATGAAATCATATCAGCTTCTGATGTTGAGCTCTTTAACAGTATCACGGACTTTGATTGTAAGAACTTTTTATTCTGGGTCTTCAGGAGTTGTTGCTGTAACACCTGTAGGGGTAGTGACCATACTGCATCTCCACATCTTCCTAGGATGATAGCTGAGGGCATTGGGCTAGAAGCAGTGCTTTTCCCAATATTCTTGGGCCCATCCTGCTTTGTATTATTATAACTATTTGAATACATATCTTATTCCCCTAATGAAGTATCAGCTCCTTGAAGATGGGGACTCCATTTTATTCCTTCTTTATGTCCCCTCTACATAGTGAGATGTACGTGTTTTGAAATTGAGCAGATTTTTTCCTGAACTTTTCACTGTATACAACTACTATTTGATTTTAAGTTTCATTTTGCTCTCTGTTCTTTTATTCTTTTTATTTTTGGTGAGGCAATTGGGGTTAAGTGACTTGCCCAGAGTCACACAGCTATGTGAGTGTTAAGTGTTTGAGGCTGGATTTGAACTCAGGTCCTCCTGACTCCAGGGCCAAAGCTCTATCCACTGCACCACCGAGCTGCCCCTGTTCTTTTATTCTTAAATTAGGGTGCAATCACACAATATTTGAATTTAAAATACTAAAGCAGTGATATTTTTGTGGGTTTTTTTCTTTTCTCTCAGTCTTTAAAGTTTGTAACAATGGCATGTGAACATAAATGCATATTTTAAAGTCTTGACTTTTCCCAACAGGCAAAAAAAGATATAGAAGTGAAAGGTACGTGGAAGGTGCCAACAAAATACAGTGACGATGGATTTTATATCTTTCAGTACAGTTTCATTAAAGAGGCAAATTTGCACTGCTTGTTAAACGGCCCTATCCCTGTGACGTGCCCTATAAGATTGCTCCATGGCATGAAAGATGAGGTCATTCCATGGCAAACTTCCATGCAGATTGCTGACCAAGTGATCAGCTCAGATATAGATGTCATCCTTCGTAAAAATGGTGATCATCGAATGAAGGAGAAAGAGGACATCAAACTTCTTGTGTATACCATTGATGATTTAATTGATAAGCTTACCACCTCAAATTGAGTTTATGGTGGCACAGATATACACTTTATTGTGTGGCCGACCAAAACCCTGTTTTTAATTGAAATGACAGACTAGTGAATCAGGAAGGCTGTAAGGGGTGACAAATGAAAAGTACTGGGCTTTAAGTTTTTTCTCTTACCTCCATATTGTAAATACTGTATGACAATTTTCTTAATGCTACATTTGCACAGATGGTAGATATTGTGAAAAACTATAGGTTGCTGGAAATCTTTTTCTCTTCCATCCTAGACTTTTTTCATTACAATGTTCCCTACACTATTTTTTTCTAAGAAAATGTGTTGATTGTGCCAAGTGTTTTATTTGGTTAATGCTTCTTGAATTGTAAAATAAAGCTTAGTTTTTCCGTTTAGGACCATTAAATATGAAGATTTGTGCAATAATTGTAATAGTTTTTTGCTCAAATATGCAAATTCACAAAATGAACAAGAATTGTTCAGTAAAATTAAAACTTGAAAAAGTCTGATTATAATAAAGTTCATAATGTAAAAGGTTGTTGCTTTTATAAAGTATATTATTCATAGATACTGTAGAATATTTTAAATTAAGGTTGTCAGAAAATTATTCCCAAGTACCTTCATAATAATATGAAAGAGGTATTGTTTATCAACTTTATTTTATTTAGAAGTTATATTTAAGCTTACTTCAAAGTTCAAGGATCTGTTATTTCTTTTGGACTGTTAGTACTTTTGGACTGACACACATTTTAATCCCTCCATGCTTTCATGAATTCTTAAAATTAAAGAGTTCAGTATCTAATGGCCAACTCTTTGAATAAACCTTGCCACACTTAATTTGGCTGATTTATTGCTATACAGGAATGGAGAACTTTCAGCCTTAGCATAGGATCTGCCAGAGCTTACCCTTTAATGATATATGGCCTTCAAGAATCCTGCATCACCTCCACATCAGCAAGCTTGTCTGTAAAACTTGAAAGATAAAACTGTTTGTTTTTTGTCTTTGTATCTCTTCTATCTTGCAGATATTAATAAGCATTTGGTGACTTGGAGGAAATGTCTTGCTATGTCAGCAATGACAAATGAAGCAAATATAAGGCTACATTTATCTTGACTAAATTTTCAGGTCTTTGATGTGGGTTTAAAAAAAATTACCTCAGATGTGCAGAATAGAGTAGATCCATGTAGTTCAGTTAGAAAGACCTGGGGGGCTGGGAGAAGGCTATAATAGACTGCAAATTCAGTGAGTTAGCAGGGGGAAACATGGCAGAAGAAAACTAATATTTTAGATTTCATTAACTTAGCATAGGGTCCTGAATTATTGTCCACTTTGTTTATGTAACTGGGTGTTCTCCAAGACTGTCCTGGGCCTTCTCTTTACACTACCTTTCATGGTAACCTAATTAATAATAACTAGCATTTATATATCATCTACTATATGTCGGGCACTTGGCTAAGAATTTTACAAATATCTCATTTGATCTTTATAACCCTGGGTGATAGGTGTTATTATTCCCATTTAACAGTTGAGGAAACAAGCAAAGAGTTCCCATGGATTTAATTGTCTCTGTTTAGGTGACCCCCAGATCTGTATATCTCGTCTCTCCCAGCCTCTGTCCCCTGAGCTTCAATTCTGCATCATCAATTATGTATTGGACATGTCAAGCCAGATATTCTGGAGACCTATTAAAATTTTAAAATTTTGAATTAAGTTTTACTAAATCAAAATTTAGATGAAAAATTTCCAAAATATAACAGCTTTTTTTCCCCTTAAACCTACCCCTCCTTCAAACTTTTCCATTTCTATTGAAGACCCTACCATCCTTTAAGTCTCCAAGATTCATAACCTTTGCATTAGCCTTGATTTTTCACTGTCCCTTACTTCAGATATCCAAACGGTTACCATTTCTACCTCTTTAAAAAATCTCTTGCTTTTGACCCCATCTCTCTACTTTCAGAGCTACCACCTTAGTTCATGTCCCCATCTTCTCTTACCTCGATTATTTCAGTGACCTCTTAATTGGTCTCCTCATCTCATTTCCTTACTCTAGTGCATCCTGTACATTGCTCCCTTAGTGCTTTCTCTTAAATGCAGATCTGTTTGTGTCTCTCCCCTCGTTAAACTCCAGTGACTCCCCATCGCCTCCAGTACAAGATGTAAATTGTTTAGCTTTTGAAGCCCTTCTCAACCTGACCACTCTACCTTTCCAGCTGCATTGTATATTATTCCACTTTGCACAGTCAATTTGGCTTCTACCTCAGACGTAACACAGGGTCTTCCATCTCTGTGCCTTTCCATTGCTGTGTCCCTTACACTCCGTGTCTATAATTAATTTCCTCATTTCTGCTTTCTGGAATCACCCTCTTTCTTTAAGATATAGTTCAAGTATCCCACAAGTGAAGCTTGTCCTGTGGGCTTCCTCTTAAACTACCTTATATTTAACTTATTTATTCTGTATATACTTATTTATTCTTATATAAGTATATATATATATATATTCTTATGTAAGTATATACTTATTCCTATATATGTGTATATATTCTTACATAAGTATATACTTATTTATTCTTATATAAGTATACATATATATTCTTATATAAGTATATACTTATTCTTATATATGTATATATATATATATATATTCTCATATAAGTATATACTTATTTATTCTGTATATGTACTTGTTAGGATGCAAGTTCCTTAAAAGTAAGGATTGTTTCATTCTTCATATTTGTATCCCCACTCCTCTATTTGACCATAGACCACATCTGGAATATTGTGTTCAGTTCTTGGTATCACGTTTCAGGAAGGACATTAACAAGCTGTAGATTGCTCAAAGAATAATCTGGATGGAGAAGATAATGACTGGGAAGGGAAGTGGATATGAGAGCTGTCTCCAGGAATTTGAAGTACTCTGATGGAGACACAGGCTTGCTCTTTTTTCTTCGAGGGCAGAACTGGAAAAGCACTTGCTCTGGAGTCAGAGGAGCTGGGTTACAGAATCTGTCTCTGATACTATGTTAACCTTGGAAAAATCACTCAAGCTCCTTGAGCCTCAGTGTCTTCATCTATAAAATTTAAAATGATTGGACTTCACAATTAGAGCTCTCCCAGAATGGAATTGTCAACACTGGTAGGCAATGAGTTCCCCATCACTGGAGGTTTTCAAGTAATGACTAAATGACCACTCCTCAGAAATCATGTGGAAGGAATTTTCTGCTAACATACATGTTTTATTTAGTAGCCTCTGACATGTCTTCTAGCTTAGAGATTCTGGATTCTGCAGAATCAAATTATAATTTTAGTGGGCATTAAAGCATAGTAATTTTTAAAATTTAATTAGTAATTTTTAATTTTATAAGTTCAGTAATAGGCATTTTAAATTGTGTGTGCTATAAGGTAAGAAGGGGTTTTTGTTTATTCATCTCAGCCTGACCCAGAACTAATAGTTCTCATGTCTGACAGAGCCTCCTAATTAAGTTGGGGCTGAACCACGGAAATCTTTATATCAGCAGTAAGAATGAGTAGTACCAAGAAGTCATTAAAATATAATGAAAAATGAAATAAAGAAAAATAACGTTCTTGTTATTAAAAAAGCATTGAAGAAAGCAAATCACTAGAATTGCATTCACATCCATTAAACTGAATCTTACTTTTTTTAAAAAGTATTTTATTTTTAATTTATAGAATAAAATGAACATTTCCATAACATAGTACAATAAAAAAGATGATTGCACATGAAGCTGCAAATCTGTGCACAATTTGCTGTTCCTTTCAAATACAAAATTATCGCGTAAATTTTTTTTTCTTTTTATTCTTCCCTCTCCCCACTCTAGAGATGGCTACCATTAGACACAGATAGGTATGTATATGAGAGATTATTCTATACTATAATTCTGTTTATCAGTTCTTTCTCTGGCTACAGATAGAATCTTTCTTCATATTTCCTTTGTAGTTAATTTGGGTATTTGTCAAAATAATTTATAAGCTCAAAGTCATTCTTAAAACAATATTGCTGTTACTGTATATAATGTTCTCTTGGTTCTGCTCATTTCACTCTTCGTTACTTCTTGCAAGTCTTTCCGTATTTTTCTAAAATCATTGAGCTCATCATTACTTAGAGTACAGTCATCTTCCATCACAATCATATACTACAACTTGTTAAGCCCTTCCCCAATTGATGTGTATCCCTGCAATTTCCAGTTCTTTTCTACCACAAAGAGAGCTGCTATAAACATTTTAGAACATATAGGTTCTTTTTCCCTAATCATCTTCGGAAATAGACCCATTTTTTATTGTAAATTGTATTATTTATTGTAAAGGTGATGGTAAGATTAGAAATGGCCAACATTCCCTTACAATAGGTATTTTAACCTTCAACATTTATCTATTTTTAAAGATGGACAAATGTGTTTAAATATTAATTTATTCTTTCTTCTGGTAAAAATGTCTTCTTAAAGGAAAAATCCTGAATTGTATCTGAGTCAAACCTTGAGGAAGCTCAGGATTGTCTCAATCCTCATCCTAGATTATCCTTGAGGTAATAAGGAGGCACTGAATTTCTGAGAAGGGGCTTGACAGTGACATGGTCAGATCTGTGCCTTAACAAAATTACTTTGGCACATATGTGGAGGATGGGCTGGAAAGAGTAGAGAATGGAAGCAAGGAGATCAATCAGGAGGCTTTTAATTAGTACCTGTGATGAGAGGCTAAATCAGGGTGCTAACTGTGTGAGTGGAGAAAAGGGAATGATTTCAGCAAATGCTATAGAGATAGAACTGGTAAGACTGCAACTGATTGAATATGGGTATGGGGGAGAGAGATGGGACAAGGATGACACCAAGACTATGAATGAGGGAAAGAGAGAGAGAGTAACAGACTTAGAGTGACAGAGAGACAGAGAACCATAAAGAAGACATGAGGGGCTTCTTTGGAGGGCAGCAATGAGGAATCAGTCTGTTACAGTGAACAGAGGTAGTGAGTAAAGGATAAAGGATGAGGAGGTCCTGAACCAAGCCAGGCCCTTCAAAACCATGCTGAAAGATGCTGGTGGCAGTGGCCAGAATTGAATCAGAATACAAGGTGTAGAGTAGACGAAGCCCAGACGGCAGAGTGAAGAAGGAAGGCAGCTAGTCTGGAACGGGCTGGCCCTGGGACTCATGATGGCAGCACAGAAAACATAAAGGAACTGGGTGACCATACCAGCAAATGATGAGTTCTAGAGGGTTCAGCTACCTTTTGCTATTCCTCACAGAGTACATCTTCCATCTCCTTGACTTTGCATACCTGTAAAGCATTTCCTCCTTACCTCTGCCTTTTAGAATCCCTTATTTCCTTCAAAACTTGGATATGGAGTGATTTTCCATTTCCTTATCCAGCTCATTTTACAGATAAGGAAAAATAAAGGCAAATGAGATAAATAAAGTTAAGTGATTAGCCCAGGGTCACACAGCTGGTGAGTGTCTGAGGCTGGATTTTAACTCAGATCTTCCTGACTCCAGGCCCAATGAATTATCCACTGTACCACCTAGCTACCCACTTGAAAGAATAGGGATTGTTTTATTCTTTGCATTTATATCCTCTGCACTTAGCCCAGAACTTAGCACCTGCTAGGCAATTAATCAATGTTTGATGATAGTATAATTTAAGTATGTGCAAACTGTATACAAAGCAAATACAACATGTATCTACATATATACATACGTATACAGATATACATACACACACACACACACACATATATATATTGGAGGGAGAACACTAATAGCTGGGGAGGATATGGAAAGGCTTCTCTGATTCAGTTTATGTGGGCCCCAAAATTCCCAATCTGCTACAA